TTTTGTTGTTGTTGCTGTTGGTGGGTCTGTGGTTGAGGAAGGGGGCCCTTCCCTCGGCCCCTTCCTCCTTGTTGTAGAGGGGAAGGGGCCCTACCCCGACCCTGGGCATCGTGTCTTTGTTTGACTCTCTTCTCCTCCTCTATGAGAGGATCCTTGTCACGCACCTGACCCCGACCGGTGGGCCTTGGTACTGAAGGGACGATGTTGTTGGTCCCAGAAAAAGATGGGGGTGCAGTACTGGTTGATCCCCTGCCCCTCTCGGCAGCAAGAGATTACCTCCGCCGTAAGAAGTTTAGATCAATTTGTGGGGGTGACATGGCTTCCTCTAGCTCGTCCTCAATGTCTAAAGATTGAAGGATGTTGATGTCGGACCCCGCCACCTTTCCCGAAGTACCAACCTCAATGTATGTAGGTACAGAAAGACTCCTTGATCTCGAGTTCTTCTACTTCAGTGACACCCTCAACTTTCGCCTCGGTGGCTCTATCAGGATCTCTGTCCAAGTCTTGCTCGAAGTCTTGCTGCACTGCTTGGTTGAAGAGCTCAGACCACCGTGAAATATCGAAGGGTTGAGGGAACTGAGAGAATTTCTTGTATCCTGGTGTGTAACCCATGAGGATATGCCCAGTTCGACCGAAATCGTCGACGCCAACGTGTCCCCAAATAGTGGCAAGGTCGTTTAAAATTCACCGAGTGCCGGGAAGGAGGAGTAACTTCGCGAGCAAAGATGTCTGCGCAAAAAAGAAAGGATCTCGTTAAAAATTAGCAAGACATTTAAAGAAGACAGACAAAAAAGACGCAAAGAGGCCGACGTAGTTGTCATTCTCCACTGTAGGGGGCACCTCAGACCAGCATACTCGGGGCCAGTTCCTCTCTCCCAAGCCCGTTAAAGACCAATAGGTCGTCCTTGTACCCCTTGTCTGAGTCAGGAAAGTGAGTCACTAGATACATGGAAGGATCCCTAGCCTTGAGGTAGAAGTTTTGCTGGGGCATCACCCTCAGCAAAGAATAGCAGAAGAGAATATCGTCGAGACCAAGGTTGACCTTGAGACGCCTGTTGAGTTCTATGACCCCCATTACTATCATAAAGACATTCAGGCGACATTGTCTAGGGACGAGATGGAATCGAGAAAGGAATTGGAGGAGTAAAGAGGACAAAGGGAATCTTATCCCACCCTCTATGATAACCTTGGTGTAGAAAGGCATCGCATCCTCGATCCTGACATTACGATTGTGTTGGGTAGGGTTAAAATCCTCTATACCGATGTTACTGGGTATGCGATAATGGGCTCTAAAACTCTCTATCTGTTGATCCCCCTTAACTTTATATTTCCCTACCCTCGAGGGACCAGCACTTTGAATCTCGGTGTCAGGGCAGGCCCTAGGTATCTCTACGAAGGAAATTGGGATTACTCCTCCTAAAAAGGTCCTAAGGAGTTTTTTTCAAAGCACTAGGGAGGTTGATGGAGACCAGGAAGGCACTGGTCACCGAAAAAACCAGAAGGAAGAAGGAAAGGGAAGAAAAAAGAAAGCAAGGACTCACCAGAGAGCTAAGGGAAGGGTCTTGAGGCTTAAGAGGACTCGTTTCGTCGACAAATGTCTGATGGCAAGTGGTGCCGCAAGTGTTTTTGCTCCGATGGTGGATGGAAAGGCGATGGTGCAAGTTGGTTCTCTAAGGAGTTTTCCGGCGAAAGCTCTGGCAAAATTTCTTCACATAAACTAAAGTGTGGGAAAGAGAAGGGGGTTCAGTTTATATAGTAACTGTCCCCATCATTGTGCATGAAACATTAAGAGGCACATTTAATGTGCATAATCTCCAAAGCGACTGAAAATGACTGAGAGCAATGATGAGGTGGTTGGGGCATTTATGTAACCCTTCGCCTTTTAACGACACGTCGCCCCTGCATCAGAAGATCAAAGGGTTGGGGGTAGTTGATGGGACATTTCTGGGAGAAAATAGATCGACGACACGTGTCCTCGGCATCGTTATGATTCCAGCCAGGCATGGTCACGTGTCCTCGACGACACTCATCCCCATCTACCGAGGAGATAGTGCTCGGAGCCGAGGGATCCCCCCCAATTGGCGTGATCAACACATATGTCTTCGGCTCGGTAAAAATCTTGACCCCCAAGGTAGACAAATGTTCCTCGGTACTGATGTGTTCCTTCTGTAGGCTGAATCCAACCTCTCATCTGCTTCTACGAAAGATAATGATTGACTGATGGCTAGCCTAGAGCAGCTAGGCTAATCATCATGAAGATGCTCTGCTCAATGGTCTCAGGAGGAGTAGGGATGCATAACACGCAACCAAGGAGGAGTGGATGTGTGGAATTTGATATCAAATTAGTAGCAAAAAGACCTGAGTACCCCTGCTGACACATGACTAGAGCAAGTATGCATTTAATGAATCATCCTCCTAATGAGACAGCAATTAAAACATGAGGGTTGAGAAGTGAAGTGCATTAAAGACCCCCATACCTAGGCATTTAATACATCCCCGCCGAGGAGGGGGAATTGAATGCTTGGCAGACCGAGGAGTGAGCTTTAATTGTTCAGCATCCCGATCATTAAAGTAAACCCATTCCCCATAAAAGTGAGAGGCACACTGCCCCATTTCTGACAAATATCTATTGAATGGACTATCAGCAATCATGAATTTTTAAAGATATGAATAGTTCTTAAAAATCATTAAAAAGGTACGCAAGAACTTCAAAAAAATAACTACATAGTGCTTTCTTCTTCCCCTCTCTCAAAGAACTGACTTGATCGTCGGAGGGGATACGCCGGAGAGCACTCCGGCACCTTTCTAACCTGTTTTTCTGTGTTACAGGATCCCCTTATAGTCTACCAACCCCAATCAGGCGACCCAACAAACAATTCATCACCAGTGCTTAGAGCCCCTTTGTCCATCTCAACCTACTTTTTGTTGCCAAAACCTACTTTCGGACGGGCCAAATCTCTACCAGAGGCGATCGAAAATCCTGAAAGCAAACCCTCCGTTCCGTCGGAATTATTATATTCTCAAACCACAGTTTATCGTGAGAGATATCTGTTTCTATTTTTACTGTTGTGCAAAAATTAGCATGCACAAAATTTTATCTTACTTACCAAAAAAAAAAAAACTTAACGCGCATCTAGCGAAGCAAGCTTGTTTCAAGTTTGTGACTTGCCCAGCTCGATTAGGCACTGCAGACACCATCACCAGCATGTAGTACATAAAAAGCAAGGCAGTCGTGATCATAACCTTACTGCTCCTTCTGCTGATCATGCTGCCCATTCTCTCTCTCTCTCTCTCTCTCTCTCTCAAGTAGTAGTAGTTGTTGTGCAAGGCAAATGGTTATGTGACAGAAGTTTCTAATATTGCCTGTATTTATAATGAGGGCAGAGAGGCCCAATTCCGTACTATAGGGTGTTAAAAAGTAGGCTAGCTGTGTATGTCCATTGTTTGACTATTACACCATATATTGTCATCAACCCATCGTGGCAATATACATATAGAGAGAGAACTTGTTGGAGATAACTTTTTTTTGTTATAGGTAATTGCTTATTGTTATTTTAAAATAATAATTTTATAGCATATGAGAGAACAAAACCCTTAAAAGAGAGGACATAAAAGATTAATATTTATCTTTGACAAGGATTGATCCATTAACCTCTTAATTTACAATATTTTTAGAGAATCAAGGATGATCTCTCTAACTAAGCCCAATTGCTTCCAACATGACTGATCAATTGAGTATATAAATATAGGCTTCTCAAATTTAGTGTGCTCAACACTTTTTATTAGATCGTGACAAATCATGTCTAATTATTGAGTTTAAATTCTTATTGAACTTGGCTCAAAGAGAGCCTACGAGCTTATATTTTAATTGAACTCGAATTAATGCACGCATATACCATAATCTTTCTTGTTGAGCCAATTGATTGCACTTACGTCAGATTGAGAGATGGAAAAATTCCTTAACCAACATGATACAGGCAGGATTAAGGTAATTAATGATATTCTATTTACCGCATACTAAGATTTTAAGTGATAGATCTTAGGTCTGCATTGCAATTTGCGAGTTTGCAATATGAAACTTTTGGGTTACCAATGGATAAGTTTAATTATTGAACTCTCTCTAAAGGCTAGCCACATTTATTTCTTTGGAGTCATGTTCTAGACTAGTTTAAGTCACAATGGTCAATTATTGAACTTAAGAGAATAGTCGGGACAAGTTTAAACACCGTGCAACAAAAAAAAAGTGACATAGACACCCCCAGCAAAAGAAGTTTGACCTTGACATTGAGTGCCTTGAACCAAACCCCAAACTCCCAAACTACATGAAAACGAAACTGTTTAATTGATTACTTGTCCACTATTTTGCATTGGACCCTATTTTTTTAAGTGTATAACAATATATATATATATATATATATATATATATATATATATATATATATATATATATATATATATATATATATATATATATATGGGCATAAACCCGTGAGATTATCTTCATTTTTTTTAATTATCACATATTAAATCAATTCAAGGTTTTATCCTTAATTATTTGGGACCGGTTAGTAAAGATTTCATGTTAAATGTCAGACCTACAATCTGTAAATAGGTAGGTATTTAAGCTTAATTTATTAACCTAATTTAACTGTGGGTCTCTTTAAATATTGAAACTTAGTATTATTTAAACGGTCATAATAAAATCGCATCATTACGCTAGATTTTTAAGATTAATTATTGATGTGATTAAAAAAGAGGGGTGCTAATGAGGTGGTTGTATAAAATAAGAGGTTGGTTAGATCATTGATACCCCTACTCTCTTTGGTGCCAATATTGAAGCAATGACCTCATTATTTATAGCAGTTTTGCTCTTTTGATTTCTATAACCAAGTCTCCTACCAGCTGCATGTATATATACTGGCTCTACTGCTCCCAAAACTTAAAATGAACTCGGTAGTGATAGCGAGAGGGCAAAGGAGGAGACCCGAGTTTAATAAAGCTCAAGCCTCCTCCATCCTAGTTCCTCCATCTCGTTTCTCTACCACTATACAATTATAGCGCTTAGCACAAAAAATAAAGAACCCGAGGTTGAGTGCAGTCAGAGCAGCAGAAAGGAAGAAAAATCGATCCATATGCCCATCGTTTAGGTTTGGAGTTATCCAACCTGGCTTTCCATTATTTGATGTTATCTTCATCACCACAGTCAAGATCATGCTGCACAAATAACTACCCATTGCTGCAGAAGACATTGACAAACCAAGCCCCAAGCTCTTCAATCCATCAGGTATTTGTGCTGCAAAAAACTCCCATTGAGCAACATACATGAATGCTTCTGCCACTCCAACAAGCACATACTGTGGAGTCTGCCAGAGAATGCTCAAAGAACTTGTTTCTTTTGCCCCTTCATTAGCTAATCTTAACCTGTGTTAAAGACAATAGAAGAGGAAAAATTTAGAATAAGTCTAAAACCAAGGAAGGGCCCTTACTAGCCTATTAAGCCCCTAACTCAAATAAGGGGGCGAGTGTGGCTTGATGAACCGACAAAAAGGAAGTACATATTAGACTACCTTGCTTAGATCCCCGAATCGTAGCAGCATAGGTCTAGGAGAAGCCATTCGCAAAGGTATGAGCATTCAATCATTTTCCTTAGCGAAGGCTCTCACGCACTCCTATGTATGGATTTCAAGTTAAGCCAAAAAAAAATGTGCCTCTACACTTGGTCTAATTGTTATGTTTATAGAAAGATATATGCATCCAAGCTTCTCTAATCTTCCAACTTTCATCTAAACTAAGTAGTTTGATTCCTAAATATATCTTTTCAAAGAATAACTTAGGGTAATGTAAGATTTTTTACCGAAATTTTAAAAAATTACGAAATTAAAACAATGGGTTTTCAAATTTCATTTCTTGGAAAATCAAAACCAAGTTTAAAATATAGGTTAAAAAATCAAGCGTCACCTTGAAATGAAATTCAAACCTAAAATTTTGCTAGTATGGCCAAATTATTACATTTGTTGTCATTTTTTTTCTCATATTTTTGTCAGTGTAGGATTATCCAACTCGGAAACCAATAGGTATGTTGATTAGAATTGCATCATTATATGTCCATATTTCTATCAATAAACCAACTTGTAACAATAAAAAAAAATACACAAAAACTTACCTGTGTTGCTCGACTAAGGCTGCGATGATCATGGCTACTATTCCAATCGCCAACCCTATTCCCATTCTCTGTAGCTCACTAGGAGGCTTTGGCTTTCTCTTGTAACTCTAACATACAAAGGAACAATAAGCTTGTCATAGCAGATGATGAAAGTTGAAGTACTTATAATGTCAAATGCAGTCATGCTAGCCGGAGGGATATGAAAGGTCGAGACCAGTGTGTTCATGGCGGCACCTTGCTCGATGAAGAGAGAAATCATTTGAATGAACACCAAGGACGATAACATGGTGCAGGACCATATTGGTAGTAGTCTCAGTACACATTTTACCTCTTCAACTTGTGTGACAGTGCACAGACGCCATGGATTTGGAGCTTGGCCTTTGGTTGATGTCAAGGTCATGTCCTTTGGGGTGATAATGGCCGCTCTGTCAAGAAACCTGTGGTTGAATCAACAGGTTTTTGTGAATTCCAAAACAAAAAAAAAAAAAAATTTGAAGAAAGATTGGCATATTCAAAAATTAAAGAAAAGTTAGAATGACTATGTAAATTTTTGGGTAAGATACAACATTTTAATCCGCTGAGTATGCATTTCGTCTCACTTTGTTAATTTTGTCACTTTAATGCTCAGAGTTTTTATTTTGAAAATGGTCGACTCAAAAATAAATATGTAAATCCCCAACAGAAAGTGATTGACTAAATATACATTTGGACTAGGAAGTGTCCTAGAAATTCAATTTTGTCCCTCATTATTAATTGTATCCATTACTTTGCTCAAGTGCATATGACATTCTGTGACATGCATGTGACATTTTTTTGTTAGCAATTTGATGGGCTGCTAAACTTAAACTAAAAACTTTCGGGATATCATTGACAAAATTGATTGTTGATTAGTAACATCTCACATCATAATAGGGTCCTTTAATAAATTAAAGACCAGTACTGTATTTTATCTTATATATATATATATGTGAATTTAAATTTGCTTACTTGAAATCATTGGTATGGAGTATTCTTCTTGTACCATCTTTCTCATCCCTTCCATGAATTTCATGTAGCCCTTCTCAAGTGAGGGAACTTCAAGCTCCAGTTTTCTCATGGAAGCCACTATTACTTGAGAGAACCTAGAGATGGGATTTCCACTAGGTTTGAAATGCCTATATCTACAAGTCCCACTTAGTAGTAAAATCAATGCAACAAAGCCACAAGAAGTAGATATCCAAAATGCCACCACCCCCTTCCCCATATTCTCCAAATACACCCAGAAATGTCTCCGCGATCAAGGATCCAAGGTTTAGGGCAACGTAGAAGTAGCCAAAAAATGCATTATTTCGATTTTTTTTCTTCAGGTCATCTTCATCGAATTGGTCTGCACCAAATGT